TATTATTTTCTTTTAAAATCCTGTAATGTCTCCAATGCTTTGGTTTTATTCTTTACTGTTTAGTTCAATTTTATTATAACTGCCAGTTCTTCTTAAAATAGCAAGAGGCAGTATGGTAACCATTGTTGATCACCTTATATTTTGTTTTTACATTATCTAATATGTCCATCCTTTTGATTTGATTGACTTTGTTCTGATATGTAGCATTTGGTTTTACTCTCTTCAAAAAAAGTAGTAAGAACTGTGGGAGTAATAAAACCCAAAATGTGTAATTGTCATTGTACAAAAGAAAAGAAAAGAAAGTGCTCTAAAGGTTATAACTGCATATATGTTTAAGTGTATAAGATAGATAACCATATTACTGAGTGTTTTTTGGATCATTGAACAAAACTGTTTGCACTGTCACTGTTTGAAAGTCCACTTTATATGCTTCAATTTTGTAACTTGAACAATTTCTAAGATGAGAATCTGTAATCTATTAACTAGTGATTTCTTACTGTTTATTTTTTAAATTTTGTATTACTTGTACCCTTTTCCTGTTTTTTTCCTTTTTCTCCTTAAATTAAAAAAAAAAAAAAGAAAAGAAGCATCAATAATAAATACTGCTAGAAGCAGTATTTGCTGAGTATCACATTGAAACAAACTATTTGCATCACTTAGTTATACTACATAGTCATATAGACACACAAAAAGTACATATACAGAAGGTCTTCTGGGTTTTACTGAAACTTCTAACAAGACACCACAGAGCCGACAGCCAGACACATTTTGACAACAGTTTCACCAACTCAACAGACATAGAATGTCTGTTATGTAGTTCTTGCTACCTGTGAATTTTGACCCTGTAGAGACTATATCCACATTCTGACAGGAACCAATAACAGTGTCTTCTGTCTTTGTCCTTGGAGGGATCCACAATTCAGAAATGCTTTATATAAGATGCAATTATAGAAGGACTAGAGTAGAAGCTAATTCTGGAGGGGCAGCAACCCCATGGTCACACCCCCCATTGTTACACACAAGTACTCAAAATAAGCCTTAAAAATAGAGCACTTAGTAAGATTTAGACAACAACAACAACAGAAACTGTGAAGAAGGTGTTAATGACTAATGTGTAAGAAAAAGACCCAGGATCTTGGGTGACACACATGGCTGAGCATAAGCTTCCCAAGGGCAGCACATCCTCTGCATACCCTCAGTCATGCCCGTTACCTCCCAGAAAAGAGAGGAACCCAAAAGTCAGACAGAGCCTAGATGCTCAGCTTCGCAGCTCTCCTCAAAACAAACCGCCCTCCAACATGAACTGTGGGTGGTGCCTCACTGTAATCCCAGCATTGGGAGGCTGAGTCAGAAAGATTACAAGTTTAAGGCCAGTATGCACTACATAGCAAGTACAGTACCCTTTGTCCTTGCAGCGTCCTTCCTGTTCATTGACTCAATGTGTGGGCTTCTTGCTTGCCTTGACCCTCTGCGAGCTGCAGATACACTTAGCACCTGACAAGTGCATTTCCATTAGATATGGGCTAGCTAGCCCCTCCTCCCTTGTATACATCCAAATCCTGTGAGTAAGAGGTATTCAGAAGAGGGTTTAACATCTACTGCAGCATCGCTGGCTTTGGTGATAACATAATGTTGAATGAATGTGCATCTGGATGAACTGGATAAATGCTCATGAATTTTGTCTGAACTTTCCATTTAAAATGAAATGAATCTAAACAACAGGCTACTTTTTAAGGTCTATTTTCATGCATATTTACAAAAAAGTACATTAATACAGAATCTTGGTCATCTACACTGTTTTTTACTATGGTAATTGCTCTAACTTTAGAAAGCCCACTCCAAATAAAAGAACTAGAAGCACTGTTTCTCAAAGATAGAGGGAGGAAGATACAGTTATTTTATTGAACCACTCAAACTGGTAGTTGTAAGGCTGGAAATATAACTCAGTGGCAGAGTTTTTGTCTAGTCCTGAGCTTAATTCATAGGAACAGAAAATAGGGAATGTGGTTGCACATGGTTTTACTTATTTTATCAATTCTATGTTCAAAGTTAAGTAACTTGTCCTTCTGGAAAGGAAACAAGCACTAGAAACCCGCTGCAGTCTTGTGTGGCCCTCGGCTCTCCCCATAGATTCCAACATGCGTTGCGATAGGCACAAAGAAGAAAAGCAGAGTGGCAAAGAAGTTCTCTAGACTTTCAAAGCAACTGGAGACAAATCCTCCCTTTGCTCACCCCACAAGGACAGTGTGGCTGCTGTGTAACACCTTCTATTTTACTGAAGACATGTGGACCTTTTCAATCAGGAGACAGGCATCTGTTAGCATGCTATTTCAAAGGACTTGTATAAAAGTCTGAAGGGGGTGAAAGAGTATATGCAGAATGCAGATAAGGGCTGAAGCTATCAACACATTCTGGACTGGGTTCTTAAATTCCATGTATATGTAAGAAAAAAAATCAGTTCTCATACATTTAAGCATGTTTGGGATGACAGGAAAAAATATACAAGTAAAAGAATAACAGCAATATTTTCATTTAATTGTAGCTTTTTAAAAACCTGTTTCTCCATCCTAGACTATGACTTGAGGAATCTCCACACTTTATAGTAGCTGAAGTAAATAGGAGATACCTCACATTTTTAGCTATTCCTAATCAACTTCTAACTTAAATAATATGCTATAAAAACATAAGACAGTTAAATAATACAACAACCACCTAGAAAATTCAGAACTGTGTATCATTAGTTATACAATACCAAAAGTGTTATCAACCTTGAACAAACTTTATACCATCAATATTAAATAAAACTCAAGGTAGAAATCTTGAAAACACAGGTGTAGGTAGAGAGTTTGTAAACAAAATTCAGACTGCATGGGAAACACTTCAACAAATGAACAACTGGGATCTCATCCTATTAAAAAGCTTTTGCACAGCAAAAGAAATCACCAACAGAGTGAAAAGACAACCCACAAGGTGGGAAAAATTTAGCCAATTGTCCCTCAGACAAGGGACTTCTATCTAAAACATAGAAAGAACTGAAAAAAACCAAACTTCCAATTTCAAAGAGTCAGCCCAGAAATGGGCATCTCAGATGAATACACACTTCTGAAATGAAGAAATACAAGGGTGAGGGTCTTAGCTCAGAGGCTCAGTGCCTGCCTGGTAAGTGCAAATACCTGAGTTTGATCCCCAGTACCTCCACTTCAAAAAGGAAAACATACAAATGGCAAATAAATGTATGAAGAAACATTCAACATCATTGGTCATTCAAGAAATGCAAATTAAAACAAAACTGAGATTACATCTCACCCCCTCAAAAATGGCTATCATCAAGAAATCAACTAATAACAAATACTGATAGAGCTATGGGAAAAAAGAAATCCTTCTCCACTGTTGGTGGGGATGTAGAATGGTGCAACCACTGTGGAAGTCAGTATGGAGTTCCTCAAAATACTAGGATTTCCACCCAGATATTCCCTTTCTGGGTATCTTTTCAGAGGATAAAAACATGCCACAGCAATATACATGCACCCATGTTTATAGCAGCACAATTTGTAATAGCTAAATCTTGGAAACAACCCAAATGCCCATCAACTGAGGAATGGATTAAAAAGATGTAGTATTTTTATACTCAGCCATAAAGAAGGATAAACTTGAGACATTTATAAGTAAATGGATGCAACCTGAGACCATACTCAGAAGCGAAGTACATCAGACTCATGTGTGTAAACACTGTATTGTCTCCTTTGAGAAACTGAAAGAGTAAATAAGTTCTAAAATGTACAATAGATATTGTGAAATGGGAAGAAATTGTTCAAAAGGAAAAAGGAACAGGATGGGTGAAAGAGGAAAGGACAATAGGAACAAGGGAGAAAATGCAATTCGGTCATACTATCAGTGTCTCTTAGTTCATTAAAAAGAAAAACTTGTACTAATATTGATTGCAGAACTTTTATACCTTTCTTTTGTACCCTAAGCAACTACTTTAAAGTTAACATGTATTAACTATTATTATTTGATCATTCTGCTATGAAATTTTATTTTTCCATTTAAAAAATCAATAAAACTCAAAAAGACAAAAATACCAACATATACTCAATAAATATTATGTGCTATTTTCACTATAACTGAACTATAAAATTAATTTTTGCTTCCAATACTGTAAAAACTAGTCTCTGGTCTAACTTCTGTCAGAAAAACAGATGGTCCAGCATACACAATTGCTAAGAATGCAAATGTCAAATAAAAACATTCAGTAAAATCCATGTCTAGACCCATAACACTCCAGAGGATGACTCAAGAGTGCCCTAAGTGTCTACTTTCTCAGTTATCACTGAGCATGGATTGCTGGAAACCACACTACTGCCATCCACCTTGTTTCTGTGTTTGCAGAATCTTAGATTTTTATCTAGTTATGGCCACACACAAAACAGACCACCTCAGCAGCCTCTTGGGAGCCGGTGGTCCAGCCAATGCAGTAAAGGCAGACTAATATGTTCAAATTGTGGGTCATGTCTCACCTATGTCCCCAACTGGAATGCAGACATAGTGGGTGACAGTCCCTCAGAACTTGCAGATAAAGCTATATTCTCAGGATTGCAGAGCAACACGACAGAATGTCACTCAGCCCCTGATAAGACCACCAAGCAATGTCATTACACTGACCTACACTTTTAGGTTTTTTGTCATGTGTAAGCCATTATTATTATGTTCTTGACATATACTGACAAAACTGTGTATTTTAATTTCCTCAGGTTCCTCTGTTATACGTGGTACTAAACAAATTCCTAGCTCCCAGATTATTATCAGGATTATGTGTTTTAAATAATAAGAAAGAGGATTCACAAGCATTAGGCACTGCACCAAGCTTCTTCTTTAGCAAAATAACTCCCTTCCCACATTCTGGTAGGCAATTCTAAAACTGTAAGTTATGGAGCTCTGCAGGGACATGAAAATGGTAGGCCATAAATGTCAGACTGTCATGTTTGCTGGCTGTGACTTACACATCGTGAGTGACGGTACACTGGCTGTTCTCTCTTTCAAGCTCCTGACTACAGGAGTCACATCTCTTCCAGCCATCTTCAGTTTTAATCCAACTCCACCCAGGAGATCTCCAGTCTTGACCCAGAAATGGCATGGCTCTCCTACAAAAAAGATAATTTACATTAAAATATATGTATGTAAAAATTAACAAGTTTCCAAGCATTTGTTCATTGATTAAAAGAATTTTCTACTTACCATTTTGTTACCAGCTCATCATTAACGTTGGTTAGTAATGAGTGGTGAGACAGTGCTGATGACAGTACTTTGGTCATGCCAAACTGATAAAATAGGAAAAATGCTTAATACTGCATGTGTGAGGACACACTGCATGTGTGAGAAGCTATCTAAGCTTCTGCCTAAACAGCAAGCAAGAAACACAGAATCATTTCAAAGAATACACTCACTGCCACAGGTCCTGGGCAACATACCTGGAAATGTATTCACATTTATCACCACTAGGTAAGCCACTTGGGATGGAGTTCACCAAGAGTAAGTGGCCATGGCCAGAAGTGAGAAGACATGATGGCCAGGTAAGACAGAGGAGTCAAGCTGTATTCTGAGATCAATGAGGGGGCCAAGAGACTTACAGGTTAAATGATTTCATCAGACTTGAGCTTTAAAGGAATCAGGTTTTCATTGAGAAGAACAGAAGGCTGGGGACAGGGACTCAAGGCTACACAGTAGTGGCCTTCAAGGAGAGTGAGCTAAATCAATACTGGGAGATGGAGCAGACAGCACTCTGGGATGGGGTGGCCTTGCAGGGAAGAAGTCAGGACATCCGGATCCTTATAGCAGAAGGTATATTAGGAGATGCTGACTTAAGTTTAATACACTAAAATCATTATAAAAATTATGACATAAATATGATACAACAAAGTTGTCATGGTAACATGTGCTTGTAATCCTAGTTACCTGGGAGTCTGAGGCAGGAAGGTTTCAAGTTCAAGGTCAGCCTGGAAAACTTTGGGACCCTACTGAAAATAAAATAAGGGGTTGGGGGTGTAGTAGTAGAGTGCTTGTCTTGCATGCACAGGGCACTGAGTACAATCTCCAGTAATGAAAAGGGAAAAAAAAGATGCAATAGATATACCCTCATGGACCTTACTTACAATCTGATGAGAATGACATCATACATACTAACTCCTCTCACTGACTGGATTTTGCTTCCTTTTGGTCAGTGGTTTCCAACTGCACTAACATCATAGTCTGGAAAGCTTTAAAATTACAAGTGTGATTCCCCATTAAAGACCAATTAAGTTATTTTGGAGGGAGGACTAGCACTGCAGATTCAAAGCCTTCCCTGACTATCCTATGCAACATAATAAGGGCCATCTGGAATCATGTTTTTACCCTCTGTTCTCCTTCAAGAGAACACAACATGTTGTCCATCTCTGTATCCCTTGTTACTTTGAACAAAGCCACATATCAATCTATTTACAGAATGAATGAATGAAATGCATGGCTCAGAAAACAGAGGGTAGCGAATAATATAGGAAAAGCATCAGAATTCAGAGAAATCAAAAGAATGAAAATAATCTCACAGAATATGCAGCAGGTCAAGGAAAGACCCCAAGGAACACCAACAGGTCAGAAGCAAATGAGTGAAGACAAGCCAAAATGGAAGCTGGAAAGGAGGGCTGCGAGGTACAATAGATGAGTGCAAGTCAGGAGGGGAAATTGGAAAAAGAGAGTGAGAAGGTAGAAAAAGTGCATGAAGTCAAGAGAAGAATATTTTAAGAATGAGAAAACATAATGAAGCCAAACATGTTAGAAATTGAAAAACAGACATTTTTTTAGGCACAGAAAGGAAATTGAAAACTTGCTCAAAAACAGTTTCAGCAGAGCAATATTTTAAGAATCGCATGTCCAAAGTTGACTTGGAAAGACTGGAGGTATAAGTAACTCAGTGGTACATGGCTTGCCTATCCTTCAGGAGATCCTGGATTTAATCCCTAGCACTGCAAAATATCAAAATCACACCTATACCCCCACGCACCTCAAAGAAGGACAGAATATTGTCTCTTGAGAGTACTTGAGAGATTCAGGAATCCAAATCTCAAGTGTTCAATACCACCAACTATATTTTGAGTAACTTACAAAAACCAGGCTATCAAATGGGAATTTATGCTATTTTTGAAGAGATCAAAATAATTTGGAAAGAAATTATATAGACTTCAATGTGATTTCTGGGTCAACTCTAGGTCTCATTTCCTGTACCAGCATGTACAGTGTAAGTTGAAATAATTTTCTTTACATTAAGATCTCAAAACCTTGTTAAACTAACTCACAGTCAGAACACTTCCTTTTCAGTCACATATTGTTAAATACTTGCTTTAGAAAATACTTTAAAACTATCCTTATATTTTAGCACATTGTGGTAAGTCATCTTATAGATCTGCTTCACAGACACAGACTGCTGCAAAATGCGAAGACCACCACCCATGCCCAGTCAATCCATGATTCTCAATAACACTCAGATGTAGGTCAAAAAACATCCCCACAAAAGAAGAATCAGGAAGTAACAACGCCTGCTTCACATGTGTATCCACACTACAGAAATGTAGATGTAGGGACTGTTTGGTAACCAAAATATCTCACTAACACATTGAAACTGTCAATTCAGGAAAATAAAATCAAGTGGTAACTCTGAAAAATATCACTAAGGATCAAACAGGATTACTTCAGTAACTGGGCAACTAACTAAAAGTCCTTGCCCTCAAAGGCATGCCACTCACCCAATAAAAACTAAAAGCAGAAAACCAAAAAGCCCTATACACATGTAATATAATGTGTGGATGTGGTACATGCATGTATACACATGCAATCTTATAATTCCAAATGAGTTGTAAAAAGAATAACTAAGAAAACAGAAAAAAATAGTAGTAAATAGAGAAAGGGCAGGTCAGCCAGGAAGGTTCTGAGAATGAGGACATGAGTTCATACTTAAAACATGGTGCTATGGTTTGTGTTTGGGTGTCCCCCCAAAGCCTCATGCAGTCAAGGAGGCAGCTAAGTCTAGTATTTGTGATTGGCTTACTGTCTAGTGCTGAAATTGGGGGTGTGAGTACTGCACCCATTCGATGGCAGGGAGCCAGCATACAATATAAGGGAGTGAAGGAGGTATGTTTTTCCTCTTTCTTGCTGTTTTCAGTCTTGTCACTTGTGGCCACCATGAACGGTTGCCACTTAACCACACCACCCTGCCTTGGATCCAGCTGAGTAATAGAATAAAACCTCCAAAAACTGTAAGCTAAATAAACCTTTCTTTCCTTCATTTTAGGCACCAACTATTTTGTCTCAACAAGTGAAAAGAAACCGAGACAGAATTTAATACTAGAGCAGTGAGGTCACTACTGTGAGCATGTGGTTCAAGAGCCTTTAGAAATGGCTTGTGGGAAGTTTGGAAAGGTTTGGAGATGTTGCCTGGAAGAGTAGCCCTGCAACAGCTTAGTCTGTTCTGTACGGGAGATTCTAGTCAGGGCTCAGAAGACCAGAAGTCTGACAGAAATCCTGGTAGTAAGGACAAGGTTCTGCTAGAAAGGACTGTATTGGTTACTGCAGTCCAGATGATGTATGCTGGATGTATGCCAATCCACAGATTGGCAGAAAGTTTGTCTGCATTTTGTTCACATCCAGAGACTTTGCCTGAGACTAAGATTAAGAACAGTGGACTAATTAATCTGGCAGAAGAAATTTAAGGCAGTCAAGTATTGAGGTGGCTACTGTTGGCAGCTTTTAGCCTGATTTATGTTGCAAATCAAGAGAAAAGAGCCCAGGAGGGTGACTTAAAATATGAGTTTGGCCAGAAAGGAAGCTCCAGTAAAGCTGTGGACTGTAAAGACAGAGCTAAGATTTTGATTGCTGAGAAGAAAAAGAACAGAAAAGATGGCCTGGGAGCATCACAGGAAGTAGTAACAGATCTCCACCCTTTGAAGCCTCAAAACTGAAAAAGTAAAAGATTATGCTTGAAGAAGAAAGCCACCAAGCACAATATTTGAGCGGCAGTGGAGGCCACGTGAGGTTCCAAAATGACGGCAGCTGTACCAGGTTACAAAATGGAGGCAGCATAACGAATTTGTTCCCAGAATCAAGTTCAGAGTGCTCAAGATCCAGGCACTTGGCCCCTACAGCCAAGGGAGAGGAAAGCCTGGCTACTGCTTCAGTTGACAGAGGATCTTGGCAGTGTCAACATAGTACTGATTTTAAGTGCATGCAGAATGCATGAATTTTAAGGTTAAAAAGGCATTCACCCCAATTTCAGAGGGTCTGGGATGCCAGTCAGCGTGTGAGGCTGTGAGTGTGAAGCTAAACGTATAGTGGAGAACCCAGAAGTTTGGAAAAGTCAGGAGTGTGGATTATCTTAAGGAAAGCTGCAAGGATTGAGCAGAAGAGGCCTAAGAGAGAAGCTGTGGGAGCTACAACCACCAAAGTTGCTATGAGGGTGAAGTCACCCTTTGGAGCTCACAATTTTTCAGATTGCTTCAGATGCTGGACATGCAACTATAGGACTTAATGTTTGCCCTGCTGGATTTTAGACTTCCTTTAGTCCCATTCCTTTGTGTCTCCCTATTTGGGCCTTTTGGAATGGAAATGTTTATCTTGCACCATTGTATGTTGGAAGTGTTTAACTTTGTTTCAATTGTACAGGGGGTTACAGCTAAGAGTTTGCCTTAGAACTGGGAGGAGATTTGGGACTTGGACTTTCAGCAATGCTGAAACTGTCAGGCCTTTGCAACTCTTGGAGATGGACTAAATGTCTTTCACGTAAAGGATATGTATGAATCTTTTGGGGGACGGCCAGGGGTGGAATGTTATGGTTTGTGTCTGCAAGTCCCCTTAAAGCCTCATGCAGTCAAGAAGGCAGCTGAGTGTAGAGTTTGTGATTTGTTCACTGTCTAGTGCTGGGATTTGTGATGTGCATGCTGCACCCACCTAGGGCAGGCAGCCAGCATACAATATAGGAGAAGAAAGGAGATGTGTCCCCCCTCTCCTTTTTTTTTTTTTTTTTTTTTTTTGCCATTTTCAGTTGTCGCTTACAGCTACCATGAACAGCTGCCCCTGAGCCCAATACCACCTTGCCTTGGATCCTGCTGAGTATGGACTGAAAACTCCAAAAATTGTATGCTAAATTAACCTTTCCTTCCTTCATTTTGGGCACCAGGTATTTTGTCTCAACAATGAGAGAAAAGTAACCAAGACACACGGTTACCTATTACACGAATGGAGAGGCAAAGAATGAAATACTACTCACAATTGTGGGAGAAAAGTATGTGACAAATCTGCAGTACAGATTGGCAGAGATAGAGAACTATTGAAGGTCAGCAGAGATTGGTAGGTAAAAAAATGACCAAACACAGGTCATGGAAGATTCTGAGATCAAAGGTGTTTGGATTCTGTTCTCTGAATAAAAGATTTTGAGTAATGTGTAAGGATGGTTGTTAGAAAACAACCATCTTATAGTGGCTGTATAATAGATCAAAAGAGAGAAGGAAATTTTAAAAATCTCCTTACACAACATAGGCTTAGTACTTGTGTTCTTTGCAACTGTATCCTTTGCTAACAAATTATTTTAAACCCTGATGACACATAAATATTGTAGTCAATCTACAAAGACACTATATCCATTCCCTGTTTAGTACACTTATCTCCTGACTTTAAAATCCATCTTAATAGCATTTATGCAAAATAAAGAGCCAATGTGGCATTTCCAATAATACAACCAATTTATTTTTGCATTTCTACATATTCTGTAATTCAATTTGACTTTAACAACTTAATGGGAAACACATATAGGTCAGTTTGAATTTTTCGGCTGTCTGATTTTCATTTTAAGGATTGGCAGGAGTGCAATGTAAAGAACGGATTGTGGAAATAGAATAAAGGCAGGCTCCAGACGTATCTGTTCTTCTGTTGATGTGTATATATTTCTTATGGTCTGTTCTTTGAATCACAGAGTTGTACTTTACAGTATAATCTATAAAGTTCATGAACTAAAGGATAGACTTTAGAAGCAGATTTATGTAAAGACAATAATAGGGCGGAGGATGTAATTTAGTGGTAGAGTGCTGGCCTAGCATATGTGAAGCCGTGGGTTCAATATAAAAAGAAAAGAAAAGGAACTTGCAATTTAAAAGGCCTTTCAAGGTTTTTTTTTTGAATGTGTAATTTTATTTTTGAAGTTTAGTTTACTAGTACATATTTGTAGTATAATATTTACAACCCTTTGTGTGGGGTTGGTATGGACATAACTCATTCTAATTCCTTTTTTATATCTCTATCCCTTCCCTCCCTTTTCATTGTCAAAAGGGGGAGGAGATCATGATAACTTTGTATGTTTTAATGGCTCTAAATATAAAACAAGAAAATAGGAATCAAAACTCTAATACATTTTAAAAGGCTACATATGCATTGCTATTTGTTTTTCAGATGAAAAAGAAATGGAATAACCAGTACTTAACAGTATTTATTAAACTAATCTTCAAAAACAATAAATGTTGTCAGGAGTGGTGATGCACATCTGAAATCCCAGCTGTTGGGAGGCTGAGGCAGGACAATCATTGTGAGTTCAAGGCCAGCCTGGCCTACCAAATGAGTTCAAGGCCAGCCTTTACACATAGTGAAACTCTGTCGCAAAAAGACCAAAAATTCAAAAAAAAAATTTAAATGCTGATCATATTAAGCAAGAGCTACACATTGTATAAGAGAAATATGTTACAATGAAAATAGCAAGGAAGCTTCAAATTCCGAGAAAAATGTTGGTAAAGGCATTTATTCTCCTTTTAGTTTTCATCATGAATTTTGAGAAAATAATTTTCATTGTTCTGGAATAAGAAAGTGATTGCTCTTCAATTTGGTATTTGATTTTTCTTTGTTGCTCTTTTTGTCTTACAATATTTCTAAATATTAAAAGTCAAATAATTTAGGGTCAAATGGTTTGTAAGTGTTGACAAGTACGATCTAGAAAGGACATCAAAAAATTGCAAACTGCAAGCTTAACGTTAGAAACAGGATTTACACCAAGAAAGCTTGAGAGATAATTATAGATACTTCATAGAAGTAGAAGAAATATATCAGGAAAAAGAAAAAAAATATGTTTTTCTGATAAGGGTCGTATGATAAGGATTTGATGCTGGCAAGAAGAGAGGTCTAGGGCGAAGATGGTCTCTAGATTCCCCATTTGAGCTCAAAATGGGTCTGCACAGGCCGAGGGGGTGGAGATGGAATTCAACTGTAAATGTCAAAATGTACTTACTAGTAAAAATCCTCAAGGATCACCTGCGAGAAGAAAAGCAGGGAAGACGCCAAAGAAGCGTCAAGTCAGGCACTCAATGACCTGTAAGGGTGGCATAGCGCCCTGGCAGTCGTCCCAGGTCAAGGGCATACAAGGGCAGACCCCTGAAAAACACCTGGGCCAGGCTGCAGACAGTTGGGGGGTGGATTCGATGGGGAGCCCGACAAGTCAAGGCTCGCAGAGCCTGCAGACACTTAGGGAGCGAGTTCGAGGGAGAGGCAGGCAAGCCAGGGCCCGCGGAGTCCTCTCCAACAGGAGGTAGGGCAAGGAAAAGATCAGGTGCAGAGATGTGGCAGAACTGGGGACTCAGGTTCCGTGGGACATGGCCTGGTGTAGCCTTCCCTGCAAGAGGGCCCCCTTCCCTCCCCACCCGGCGCGCCCATGGCCCTCTCCTCACCTGTAATTCCCACCTGACGCTGGACGACCTGGAGGTACACAAGCTGCTTCTCTTGGGCAATATTGCCGGAAGTCGCTCGCCGCTGCCCGGGCGCCTGGAGAAGCTCCGCCCTCGGCCACACTTGATTGGCCGGCTCCAAGATACTAGGCGAGTTGCTACCCGGTCTTGGTGGCCATGCGAAGGCGTTTCCCTGTTAGCCGGCCCTCTGCAGATGGCAACAGCTGTTCGCCAGCGCTAGAAGTATCAGTGGGCAGCCCTGTCAGCGACTAGGGTGGCGTCGCCCGCGGGACACGATAACAAGCTAGCCCAGAGCTTGTTATCTGCTGATCTTAAGGCGTAGGGCTTGCTGGGAACGCCCTACAGGAGCTGCTTCCACGCGCGGTGGGATGTTTTTTCTACTCGGAACTGGGGCGCGAGCCCGCGGGACGTGAATGCAGTCACTGACCGGAGGTGCGCCTGAGAGAGACTTCCGCCAAGCGGTCGCGTCCCAGCCGCTCGAGCAAGATGGTTCCTACCCTGGGAAAGCCCAGAACACACAGGACTTGGGGTTTGCAGAATTTTTGGAACAGCATCTCTTGTGTAGTAAGCAAAGACGTACAAACGTTCAATTTTAGTATTTTTCTTTCTACGACGAGTGCTTTTATATTTGGAACACGTCAAGAAGATACACGTATCTGGAAATTTTTTTTTGTAAATTATTTCTGATGTACTTATTTAATAGTTTCTTATTTTTGTCCGTTTAATTTTAGTAAAATAGATAATTTCATATTACATAGAGTGAAAGTCCATTTATTGTTGATAAAATTTATAAGTATTTTATGAAGTTTAGTGTTTAACTGGGAATTAATCATTACAACATGATTTCTGTGCTTATGAGGTCATAGCCTTTGCCCCTCATTCTTTTGAGACATTTTAAAAATACAGAAAAGTTTAAAAAATTGATTATTACAATCCAGAATTAGCCAGTGTCTTTATATACTGTACCTACTTGTAGTTTTTAAGAGAAATAGATATTTATATAAAAAGCTGAAGCCGCACCCCACCTCCTGCACTCTTTCCTTTAGGCTTCCACCCTTCATAGGCCACCACCAGGGAGAGTTTGGACTCACACATACATTTGTATCCTTTACCAATATAAAGTATTGAACTTCATGATGGAAGCTTTAATTCAAGTTTGCAAAAAAAGTTCTTATACTATATACATTATTCTGAAACTTGGTATTTCCCTCTCAACATTTTTAAGATTTTCCTGTTAATACATGTGATATTGCATTTTAATACATGTATGTATAGTATTCCATTATAAGAATTTTCCACTTTGAATGGGATTTAAGTGACCTCCAATATATGGCTACTACAATCAAGACACTACATTTCCTGGTATATACTTCTTCAGCATATACACGAGTAGAACTGCTATGGCTTTTTAAATTTGTTACAGGGAATAGTTTCCCTACTTCCAAGATGATAAGCATTTTAGTATACACACTTTTCATATTTTCTGTCCTTAATCCCTGTGGATTTTACTTTTGGCATAATTCATGATCTGTTCTCTCCTCTTAGAGATTACTCCAAATATACTCTAAAAGTCTTATTATTCCTTATTCCCTAAGTCCATCTCTTTCATGTTCCAAATTTTTATTAGTGCTTAGGCGTCTATCTGAAATCTTTTTTGTTCTGCTGAGTCATTATTACAAAGGCTGCTTTTTCATATATGACCATATAAAGTATAGATATTCCTCATTTATTGACCTACCTGTTTACCGACCATTCAGACTTACTACCAAGGCATTGTACTCATACTTACAACCTACTGTTTGGACTTACTACCTGCCTTTTTTTGTATGGTTCTGTACATTGTGTTTATACAACCTCAATGTCTTTTTTGCACAGTACACCTTGTTTATATAATACTGTAATTTTTGGTGATTGTACTGTACCATAGTTTTGTGTTCCTCTATACATCACAGTACTGCATGTAACAGTTATGCAAATAAAAGCAAACTCATCAAGCTGGAATATCTGACCCTTTCTTTGTTCTGAATATTGTAATGTAGATACTGTATACAATTCTTCATTTAACAACCAATAATGACAGTAGTCTCAGGATCTTGGTTGTTGAGAAATTTCTTGGTCTGTTTCTTTCTAATACTTTTTTTTTCTTGGTCTCTTCCTTTCTAATACTTTTTCTTACTATACTGATGAAGATCTCCAGATTTATGCTGAGAGCAGTAACAGGCCTCTTATTTTCTGTTCCCATTTTAGGGAAATGCATCGAAAGTTATGGTATTACATTTGTTGTGGTTTTATGTTGTTGCTTTTTGGTGTGGCACAGTCTTTTCATCATACAAATGTCTTGTCTCTTCAGTATGCATTGTTGGCGTTCTGTAAGTTTTTAAGCATTTGTTGTATTTCATCTCACTTGTGATGCTTTGCTTCAAAATAACTATTCTGATGCACTATGAAATGCAAAATCTAGGTGTATATATTCTTATTTAGAAGATATTTTTAATGGGTATGAATTTTCTGGCTTGTAATATGGTGTGACTTCTGGCTGAAAGCTTTCCCACATTCACTACACTGATGAGGTTTCTTAAGTCTGTATACTCTCAAATGCAGAAATAGAGTTGAGGATTGGGAGAAAGCTTTCCCACATCCCTCACAATAATAGGGTTTCTCACCTGTTAGCTTCTCGCATGGACAGGGAGAGATGACTGCTAACAGAAGGCTTTTCCACATATATTGCATTCGTGAGGCTAATCACCTGAATGAATCCTCAGAAACACAGTGAGAAATGACTTTAAGAGGCTTTTCTACACTCATTACATTCATAGGTTTTTTCCTTCCATTTGAATGTTTTGATACTTTATGAGTATTTCTGGACAAAAGCTGTTCCAAGTTCATTGCATTTAAAAAGTTTCTCTCAAGTTTGAATTTTCGCATGCTCAGTAAGATTTGATTTGCCACTAAATCCTTACATATGAAAGGTTTCTCTCCCATGTGAGTTTGTGGTATTTGATGAGGTTTGACTTCCAACTAAAAACTTTTCCAACTAAAAATCTTTGCACTCAAAAGGTTTCTCTATAGTGTGACTTTTCTGATGAATAAGGAGATTTTCCTTTTTGCTAAAGGATTTTCTACAATCATTACATTCAGAAAGCTGCTCTTTGGTATAGGTATTCTGCTTTTAATGACAAGTTGCTTTTGGCCAAAGGCTTTTCCACATGTGTTAACATTCAAAAGTCTTCTCTTTGGTATGAAAAAGCTAGGTAAAACCATTGAGAATAAAGTAGACTTCTTAACACAAACTTTAAAGACCAGTAGAACCTTGGCTGAAGTTTTTACAGCTTAAAAACAAACAATTTACAATCCAGAGTAATATATCTTTCAGGTGGAGAAATAAGGACATCTTATGACAATGAATAGTTTAATATATACATGCACACCAAAAAGAATATCCTAGTCAGAGACAAGAGAGCCAAAAATTCAGATGGAATGTATGCATCAAATAAGACAAATAGTTCCATGAAAAAAGGAAAAATAAACGAGTCATCAACAGGAAAAAATGGAATAAATCAATACTCGAAGAAATAAAAATGAAAGTGGCTTCAGCTCCCCAATGAAAAGACACAGACCATCGTGCATTGAAACTAAAAATCACAAAAGAAACCAAAGAAAATTTATAAATAGTTGAAAGTTAGTAAAACACTCCTGAGCAATCAGTACATCACAGAAAAAACAAGGAAAAATTTAAACAACTTCTGAAATCATGCAACAATACCAGGACAACATAGCAGAACTTCTGGAATACAATGAAAGCAGTCCTACTAGGGAATCTTATTGTCAGTGCTTGCAGTATAAAAACAGAGTGAGCTTAAATAAAAACCTAATGATGGGGCTGGGATTTAGCTCAATGGTTAGGGTTAGGTTAGCTTGCCTGGTAAGCATGAAGTTGTGAGTTTGATCCCCCAAACCACACACACAGAAAAAAGCCTAATGATGAAAACCAACATACTCTAAAAATAACAACAATACAATTCCAAACCTAGTTTAATGAGGGAAATCACAAAGATTAGAGCAGAAATTAATGAAATTGAGACTAAAAATTAGTACAAATGTATCAAAGAGTTGGTTCTCTTAAAAAAAATTTAACCGAGTAGATAAACCATTAGCTAAACTTACCAAAAGAAAGAGGCAAATGAATCACATCAATACCATTAGAAATGAAAAAGGCAAAATTTCAGTGAACGCTACTGAAATCCAAAACATAGAAATTGTATTCTCAATAATTGGAAAACCTTGAAGAATTGGACAGATGCCTCGACACATACCAACTGCCAGAACTGAAGCAAGGCATAAAAATTTTGATGAATTCAATAATGAGCAATGAAATTAAGGAAGTAATAAAAAACCTACCAACTAAGAAAAGTGTAGGACCTGATGGATTTTCTGCCGAATTTTACAAGCTCTTTAAGGAAGTTGTAACATCAAATAGTCCTCAAACATTTTAATAACATTGAATGGGAGAGTGTCCTGCTAAACTCATTTCTGGAAGCCAGCATCATTCATCCCCAAACCAGATAAAGACACAACTAAAACAAAAAAACTACAGGCAGATCTTCTTAACAAAAATAGATACAAAATCCTTGTTTTAGTTACTTTTCTCTTACTGAGACAAAATGCCTTATGCACAATTAAAGGATTTATCTTTGATTTATCAAAGAAAGGTTTATCATAGCTCATAGTTTGTAGAGGTTTCAGTCTATAGTTGGCTGGCTCCAAGGCAGGGTCCATGGCAGAAGGATGTTGCAGAGGACAAACAGTCCATGACAAAGTAGGGTAGGTAGGAAGTAGCAAACAGTAAGTGAGTGATAACAGCAGCCCTCTTTCTCTTCTTTACATTCCATTCAGACAAACCATCCTTGAACAAGTAGTGCTCATGCCCAGAGTGGGGCACTCTAAATCCCGGCATCACACACTTAATCTCAGCATCACATTCCCTAGATCCAGTCACTTCCAAAAAGCCTTGCCTGTGATTATGAGGCTTTGTGGGGACATTTGGATACCAGCCATAAAAATCCTCAATAAGATACTGGCGAATACAATGCAACAAATTATCAAAAAAAGTCACTCATGGTGGACAAATAGGTTTCATCCAAGGAGTGAATGAATGGTTCAACATATATAAATTAAGAAATGTAATTTACCATGTAAACAGAAGCAAAGACAAAAACCACGTGATTATATGAATGGATGCAGAAAAAACTTTGACAGTGTAACACCTTACGATAAAAATCGTGAAGAAAATAAATACAGAAAGACCTTCTCTTTTGTTATTTATATCATAGTCCACTCCTGCTCTTAAAAAAAACAAGAAAAACCTCAGCTCCCCATGAAGACTGAACACCCTCTGAAGGTAGGGTCAAAAGTTGTATTTTTATTTTTTATTTTTTTTATCCCTAAAAGTCTAACTCTAACTTCAGGAAGAGAGATACTGCAGACAGCTGGCCATCCAGCTGAAAGCACTT